GCGACACTTAAAGATAGAGATATGGTGATGAAAACATAGTGAACGGAGGTTTGGAAAACTCTATGCACGCACTTAATAACCTTGCGTAATACTTTCAACAGGAAGAACGCTTACGCATTTATCTTGCACTGTTCACGTTGAGAACTCGTAGCTAGATTAAACGATATCGAACAGGTGGAAGTGCGGGGCCATGCATATCTTTTGCATTTGAATGTCCACATCAATTAATGCTTCATGAGATTGAAAATGTATACCTTTCGTTATAGTACATGCGCTCGCCACAAACATGTTGTGCTCCACAGCTTGACTGTTTATGTGAGCGCTAACACGCAAGAAACTGCCACAAATCGATAGGAAAAAAAAACATTAAAGAAAAGGTTATGAATTTGCTCTGTTGCATATTGTTAGCACCATACTGACTCACCGATTTACCTTTCATCGCAGTTTGATCTGCTTTTGTATACCTCAGACAACCAAACATTAAATGAGGTTTATATTTCAAGTCGTTACGCTGCACAGGTACACAACGAAACCCCAACGCTTGTTTTCACACTCTCTTCGATCATGCACAGGGTTGCACAGTGTGTGTAGGGTGAAACCTGAAAAACCTAAAATTCTTAAGTAATTTGGATTATATTGAAAGGACAGGGTAATACCAAGAAAACCCTAAAAAAAGTTCCAAGTAAGTGAGAATGATAAGTGAAAGTGCAACGGCAGCGTGCAACGAAGCCCGAGGTTTGCACGTCGGTGCCATTGCACTGAATAACGTTGCCCGACACGTCACTAGGCAGCGCAGGCCACTAAGTACTCCCTGAACCGAAGTAACGGTCAGCATTTTAGAGAAATAGTCAGGAAAACATTGGGAAATCGGGGAATTCGGAATAAGTGATTTGGTCCACTCATTCGAGTGGGCGGCGTCATCTAGTACTATACAGCGAGGGTGGAATTAATCTAACGTATTTTAAATAAAATTTTAAAAAATCAGATTTGCGTGCTGCGACACTGAAATTTTGATATTGATCCTTGGAAAACTCAAGTTCATCTAGTTGAACCTATAAGTTAATTGCAGTGTCTGAGCATGAGAAACGGACTTTTACACATTATTTAAAGTATCAGTATAGTCGATTGTTGGGCTAGTTGGTTTTGGAATTTGGAAGACATTTTAGCGCTCAAAAAACAGGGACAAAGAGGCGAGAAACAGACAGCACAGTGCGCTACTAACAACTGATTTTATTACGTGAAACAACACTTTTATACCATCCGAGTTTCTGATTTTGCTCCACCACTAGCCAACCCGGTGCCAGGCCGCGTCATTGAGGAACGCACGCTCCTTGTCCAGTAAATCAATTGAGGCCACGCTGACACATGCTGCACCACCCTTCCTAATCTCATCTGCCTCGATTATCTCCCTCACAGTTTTTTCCTTGTGCCGTGCCAGAATCTTGCTCTCGGAAAACAACGGCATACACTTACACCTTTCACAATGATCAGACAGATGACCGTCCCGATAATTTCCTACTTTAAGTTTGTGCTCGCTCAGCCTATCATTAACACACCTACCTGTCTGACCTATATACTTGTTTCCGCATGATAAGGGGATCTGATATACTACTCCCTCCGCACATTCAACGAAGGGATCCCTGTGTTTTACCGCGCAGCCAGAAGGGGCCTTACGAAAAGGATCTGTCATCCTACATAATCTACTAAGTTTGTTTGGTGCGGAAAACACTACGTTCACGTTTGATCTATTGGCCACCTTTTTCAAGTCATGCGCCGTTTTGTGAATGTACGGTATCACCGCGACCTTCTGTTTATCTCTGAGAGCCATTGGGCAAGGGCGATCTTCATTACGCAATCTTTTTAATACGATCTCTGCAACTGAGACCACTACATTCTTCGGGAAGCCAGCTGCCAACAACCGCCTACACTGCGTGCCCAGGCCTTCTGACATCACATGGTGGCATGATTTTATGCCGTTGTTTTCCGAGAGCAAGATTCTGGCACGGCACAAGGAAAAAACTGTGAGGGAGATAATCGAGGCAGATGAGATTAGGAAGGGTGGTGCAGCATGTGTCAGCGTGGCCTCAATTGATTTACTGGACAAGGAGCGTGCGTTCCTCAATGACGCGGCCTGGCACCGGGTTGGCTAGTGGTGGAGCAAAATCAGAAACTCGGATGGTATAAAAGTGTTGTTTCACGTAATAAAATCAGTTGTTAGTAGCGCACTGTGCTGTCTGTTTCTCGCCTCTTTGTCCCTGTTTTTTGAGCGCTAATATGTATTCCAAATTTAAAGTATGCTATATTCATTTCGTCATCGCTGTATACAGTTTCGGCAGGGCATGCGATATTTTAAAGGAATGTACTCACAAATCACGTATGCTAGCGCGAGCATTTAATGCAACATATAAGACAAACTAAAGGCAATTCATGTGGGCATAACGCAAGTGTTCTTTCATCTGCACAGCCTCTGGACTTGTTGCTTAGATTTGCGTCTCACAGCTGTATCAAGGGACTCAGTATTCTTTTTACGGGCAAACCAATAAAGTCGTACCCTTGCAAACAAAGCAAATACATCATTATAGACATCCTCACTGCATGGAGTCAGCAGCTTTTCGACCTTCTCACGAAGAGTAATGCAAGGCGCCTTCGCAATGCCTTCTTTTAATACCAGACTGTCAACTGACGCCACAAAAACCTTCTCACAAGCTTGAACGAAGGAAACAAAGCAAGATGAAGGGACTGAGAGGCTTCCAAAGTCTCCTTCAGTCGTTCCTTTCACACTTAAATGCAACAACACTTGGCTCTCATCAAAAAAAGTGTCATTCTTGATTAGCAATTCACACTGCTGAGTCACGTTTTGACATGTATGGAACTTGACAAATCTTGTTACCGGCCATCCAGCGAAGTAAACCACGTTGTTAAGTGATAATAAGGAGGGATAACTACAGGGTGTGAGGTCAGCTGCACATTGTGAAAGGGAGCTTCCTAGACTAAGTGAAGGTGAGGGAACTGGGAGACCAACAGGGAGAGCCGCTAAAAGAGTTGTCATGTCCTCTTCGCAGTTGCTCTTGTCGGACAGTTTAAACAAGTTGCTAACTTGGAGATGCCTAAAGGCTGCATGAAACTGCCGGCAAGAGGAATTGTTGTGCGCACCAGACTTCGACCTTATTACGGAGAATGTGTTTTCAGGTGCATCTTGGTTTAGATGGCGAGTAAAAAGGTATCTGAAACCATACTTAGATGTCAGGTGCTCACAAATCAGCATCACGGATCGAATGGTCAAGCAGAAACCGCGAATTCTATCAGGCTGCCGTGGGCACCCAAGAACGTTGAGGCTTTCCAGCATGACAAAGCATTCCCTCAGAAACTCTTTGTGAACAGAGCCTTCGTGCATTGCAGACACATATGCACTCTTCCTGCGTTTCCGTGAGCTGTTCAAGCTATCGAAAAGGCGATCCATTCTTTCAATGAACCGTGCCGTGTGGATAACTCCAACTGGCATTTGCTGAAAAGTTACCATGGCGAACATTGCAGCAGCACAGTGATTACTGAATCTTTGTGCAGATAGCTTCACTGACATCTTGGAGCAAAAGTCAAATTAAAATGCTTTTCGTTGAGCCTGGGGATGAATCGGATTTCAAGCTGTTTGTCCTTTTTGTTGGCTTCCCTTAGGAAGGAGCTTTTTAACGTGTTGTCCCCAACTTGAAAAGTGTACTTGAAGCACATATTTTGCAAGCACTTCAGCAGATGCGGAACATAAAATAGATGTTCCGCAGGAAGAGCTCGACCACATGTGCGCTCCGAAACAGAGGAGCTCAAAAATATGGAAGGCTCTGGAAGACCGCCAGGTTTGTCAGCCTGACTAGCTGTAGCATCTTCATTCTGGGGACAAGCATCAAACTACGAATACTACGCTTTAAATTTTCTAATGAACAGTGCCGTGAACAACGGCGTTTGGTGCCTGGAAGGCCAAAGTATCGCTAAACGTTAATGATACAAGAAAGTTTCAGGTATCTAAAACAATTGCTTAACGATTTGACATACATTTAAAAAAAAAACATAATCATGCTATTCGTAAAGTTTACTTCAACAAATTATGTGACCATTATATTGAAGTGTAACCAATTACGTGCGATTTGACTGTTTATATGGGTAAGTCATCATTGATCACACTTGGTTATAAAGTCAATTGTGAGGTGAAGTTATACCATAGTTTGGGTATTTTTAATGATTTAATCGTTTACATCCTTTTATGTAAATATTAACCCAAATGTGTTAGCACTCGTGTTTTAGAAATTGTTCATCAGTCATGCCCCGAAAAATTAAAGGGGCGATGCAACGATTTTTTTAAATTTGCTCAAACACCGCTTAGAACGGATCGTTGACGTTAATGGCTTGTAAAACACCCGTTCGTTCTTCACCATACGCAATTAAAGTTGCAGAAACAAAATTGAAGGTAAACAAGCCGCGTTCACCTCCTGAACTCGCAGCCAGAACAAGCGGCCGCCTGATCCGGAGCCGATTATATGCCTCCAATGTTGATCATAGCCACGCGCCGGGGGCCGGCAAGGCACAGGCCATGCACTGAGTTCCAGACATCGTTATGGCTCGGCTATTGTCGTCATTGCAGCGATTGGACACGGGCCACTACCCGAATAATTGTCGAGCTGTCGATTATCACGAGCCCGAATCGAGAGCTTACGGGAAGAATCTATGAGCTGCATTTAAACATCGTCACTGGAGGGTACTCCGAACCGCCCAGCTGCATCATCAAGTTTTGAAAACGCTCGCTTTTGTCCTTGATATAACTCCGCAACAAAGGAGTTGCTTGGCACGGGGCGTTGCATGCGAGTGTCGTTGAGTCCCGCTTGTGCCAGTAAGCTTGTGTAAAGTGAAAAATATTCTAATTGAATATTGTTCCAACGTCCTTTTAAAACTGTTTGTAGCTCAGATAACAACTGACGGCTAAACTCAGTTACCTTTAATTGACTGTGGCGCAGGCGATGCTGGACATCACCCTGCTCTGTGGCAGCGTTGTGATGCTCGGCCACGCTTACCTGCCCATCAACAGGCACGCATCCAAGCTCATGGCGCCATGCTTCCTGTGGACATTCACTGCCGCCCTGTTCAACTACAGCGTCTGGAGATGCAAAAAACACTACTGCTCATTTTAGCATAGTTCGCCGTTGATAGAAGATGTCGTTCGGGACAAAAATTAGCCACCAGTATTGACAACAAAATAACATCCCGACCTGCCTAAAGTGCACGATGTATATTCCCTTTATCGCAGATCTTTTATCCATAATTAAGGATGAAGTCTTAAGGACCTCGCACCTCAAGGCGACCAAACAACAGACATTGGTTGCCGAAATGTTATAATCAATATGTGTGTAACCTTTCTACGTTTGAACCTCACCAACTGACTACAACGATTAGTCCTGCAAACATAAAATGATCTGCCGTGTGGTGTGGTGTGGTGTGACGAGGGGGAATTTCGTCGGTACAGCGTAAGGGCTGCCCTCCGCTGTATGGACTCGAGAGATTTCTTATGCGTTGTTGATAGGGGGTCCCAGTTAGCAGAACAGAATTCCAGCTGCGGGAGTACCAGCGACGTGTACAGGTGCACCAGTGGTGCGGCTGGCATGCCGCCCGTAATTTGGGTGACGAAATCCAGTGTCCGCCTCGCATATGAAGCGGTTCCTTGGATGTGGCGACTAAACTCGAGGCGCTCGTCCAATGCGACTCCGAGCAGTTTTGTGTGAGTGACACGAGAGAGTTCGGTGCCACCTATTGCAAGGGGTGGGGAGCGTGAGGGCTTAGCCAAGGACAGGCCGACTGTCATGCTAAGGCATTTTGTAGGGTTTAGTGCGAGGCTTTGTGTCACGTACCACCTGTAACAGGCATCGAGGTCGTTTTGAAGGGAAGTGACTGCATCCTTGGAGATTCCTGTTTGTATCAGAGAGAGGTCGCCTGCGCATGGTATTGCCTTAGATTTCAGTCCATCGGTGACGTCGTTTATGTACAGCGAGAAAAGCGTAGGGCCAAGCACACTGCCCTGCGGCACATCGCCGAGCACAGTACAGGGGGAAGAGATATTGCCGCCCGCAGAGCCGAGAAGGCAACGCTTGGTCACGGTCTTCTAGAGGATTCGCGGTCATTCTCGCAGCAGACGTAACTTTCCCTCTGCTTTGTTATTGTCGAAAGTGCCAGTTCATCCTCGCCCCGAGCGCGCGACGCTCGAACCTTCTTTGCCGAACTTTCGAGATAGTGACGCACGGTAGATAAGCAGCTGCCCGCGACCTTGTCGAGTCAGTCTCAGTCTCGCTCACGCTCTCTGATTCGCCGCCGAATCGCCGCCTGCTTTTCTGCCGCTTCGACGCTCTTTCGTTACTTAATGTGTTGGCACAAGTTCGCCCATTAAACCTTTATTTTCAGTTTGCTCTTTTCCTTCTCGTCGCCTTAATTCGTGACAATATGACCGTGGAAGGCGACTCGCTGGGTTCGATTTTTGACGAAGTTTATTAGCCAGTTGGCCAAGGAACCCTCAATACCCAGTTTCTGGAGTTTTTAGAGAGAAGAGTGTGGTCGATGCCATCGAATGCTTTTGAAAAATCCATTGTACCAGTTGGCAGGGGATGCACTAGTCTAGGTGTGAGCTCAGCGTGTGAACTGCTACTGCCAAGGCAGTGTCGCAGCTGCATCCTCTTTGAAATCCGTGTTGTGGCTGATTTAGCAGGCCATTATCCTCCAGGTGGTTCAGGATTTTGTTATTTACTATTCTTTCCAGTGTGCGGCTCACAACTGAAATGGAGGCGATGGGGCAATACGAATCAATGCTGTCGGTGTCAAGTCCATTTCCTTTGTGAATGGGGGTACAGTGCCAGAGTCGAGTATGCGTTGAAACATGCGGATCAGGATGGGCTTGAATACAGGGGCGGGGAGCTGAAGAAAAGCAGGATGCACTCGGTCTGGCCCAGGGTTCTGTGCTGGGCGAAGGGAGGTTAGTGATTTTTCTAAGTCTTGTTGGGTAATGGCTAGGGATGACAGAGAGGCTCCAGGTGAAGGGGATGACTCATGATTAGCTGGGGGGAAGGTGAGGCTTGGGGAGGTACGAGAGGCTTTCAGGGTAGTGGTGAGGCGGGAGTCGTGTGGGGAGACCAAATTGAGAAGAAGTGTTCACTAAACAGAGAGGCTATAGTGTGTTGGGGGGGGGGAGGGTCTGATGCAAGTTTCTGGTTGTGTTTGAACACTGGGTGGCCAGGTGAAGAGGTCTTTCTTTGGGATTGGACATAGGCCTAAAACAGCTTGGGCTCTTTGGCTGCTCGGGCTGCAATGCTGGTGAGGTATTCCTGATGTGATTTGTGCACCAGTCTCTTTATGTCCTTTTGCAGACTTTTTGCTTCGATGTAGCTAGATGCACAGTGTTGCTTTCGAGCACGATTGAAGAGTAGGCGCTTTCGTCTTGCAAGTTTTACAATGTCTGTGGTAATCCACGGAGGTCTCTTTGAGGGTGGTGAGTGAGGAATGCATTCCGTTTGGATTGCGGTCATAAAATCAGTCCAGAGGTCGTACCATTCGTGGGTGGAGGGTTCGGACAGCACCATCGACCAGGGTGCCAGGTGAAGGATCGCGCGTAGGTGGGAGAGATCCGTCTTTCCGTACCAGTATATCATTCAAGAGAAATTTCCTTGGCGGGAGAGAGACGTGTAACATCCAATGTATATAGCCTTGTGGTCGCAGCCGACCAGACTCCCCTGTGCGTTACAGTTCAACACAAGGGTAGGGTTTGTAGTGAAACAAAGGTCAAATTGTGATTCCTTGCCGGCAGCTGAACAATATGTGGGGTCACTGCAGAGCTGGACGAGTCCGGATGTCTCTACCATCTCCAGGAGCTGCTGAAGCGCTGGGTCCGCGGGTATAGGTGACGATAGGTCTCTCCAATCAATCTGCACATTGAAGTCCCCTAGTAGGTAGACACTTGCATAAGATGTGCTGAGTTCCAAAAGTCTGTCGATAGAAGTCTGGAGAGAATCAAACCTCAAGGAGTGCGTGCTTGGGGCTATGTAAGCACAGGCCAGAAGGATCTTGCTGCGGAGAGTCCACAATTCTACGAAGACAGCATCAAGGTCATCCTGATCCAGGTCGGCTCGGCGCCGACAGAAGATGTGAGACGGGGCGAGCACCATGACTCTGCCCCCACGGGAGGTAGAGCGGTCTTTGCAAAAAATCTGGTAACGGGTAGAGTTGGCAATTTGGCTGTCGCGTGTCGTTTCATCTAGCCACGTTTAAGTGAAGACGAACACTGCGTCGTCTGTGGTCTCGATCATGGTGTTATATTCAGGCAGCTCGTTTTTGATTGATCAGACGTTAGAGTACCAGAAGTTCAGGTGCGTTGCATGCTTTCTTCGTGGCGTGGACAGGCTGGGGTCGTTTGTTGGTGGGTTGCGAGGTGTAGTGGATAAGGGAGCTGTGGGGGACTGCCGGGTTACTGTTGCGAATAGCTCGTCGTCGAAGCGTGGGAGCTGGCATGTGCCGCAATACCATACCACGGGAGATGCGGAGAGACGGCGGTAGGCCGAAAGCGGAAGTACTCGCACTTTCAGTGCACCCAGAGTTGGCACTGGTCGCACTGTAGTGCTGCTGTGTTGCCCTTTATGGCCCGGGCGCAACGAGGGCACGGGTGCCTTGGTCCGGGGTTTAGGGAAATGTCTCCGGCAGCATGTAGGAGCCAAACGACGTGCGGTCACGCAGACGTGAGGCGCGGGCTTTTAGGCCCGCGCCTCACGGCTTTTAGGCCTAGTGGCACTTGAGGCTACGGCGTAACCGACGGTGGTACCGACGTTACTCACGCATAGGGCCGGCAGTTCATTCTCCGGGTGAGCCCGGAAGTTCACGTTCAGAGGCGTCGGTGAGAAACAAGGCACGCAAGCGCGAGTAGATCAAAAAAGCAGCAACTAGACGTAGCCAAGCGCGGACCGTGCCGGCGGCCGCCATGCTCGACTAATAGTGCTGCGGGAGTTCTTATTGCATGCTTGGCGACGTATCGTCAATTTCGGCCCTTGCCAGACCCCAGATGAGAACACGCGCGCCCCTGTAGGCCTTCCAAAGCTGCCAACGACGCTGTAAGTTTTCCAACACGCCTCCAGGGGTGTGTAGTGGATACCAGGGACGCCCGTCGCCTCCGCCAGACCGCATTTGCGACAATGCTTCGCATTTCTCACTCAATCACATCGCATCATGCCCCTTCTTGACGGTCACGTGTATAGTTGATAAAGGCCGAAGGTCGGGCTGGTTCGGATGCAAGCAAAATCATTTCTCGCAAGGCGAAGCGGACAACCGAGCCCGGTGTGGAGAGCGCCGACTAAGTGAGCAATCCCGTTATTCATTCTGCCAGACGCGGTCTGACGTTGTCGTTCCGCCCTGATCCCCCACACGCGTGCGAGAAAGACTACACCGATGTAAACACGCTGTGTAAACAGTGCCGGCCTGAGTCACCGCGTTCTCCAGGCCCGAAACGCACGCTCCGATTCTCTCGGCAGGAAACGTGCGTTCTGAACCTCACGTCGTAAAGTACGCCTGTCTCTCGAGGTGGCCGACCACGGAAAGTGTTTACGCCAATGCGTTCCTATCAGCCAAGCCTCCCTGGTGCTAACGGCCCACGCGTGGAGCCCTCGTTGATCCTTACAGGCCCTAACGAGCCGTCCTACATATTCTTGTCACGAAGGACCTAACACTTAACTTGAACCTGAACCTTTAAAAAACGTAAGTTTTTAACGACCGCGATATTTACTTTTTGTAAACGTGCTCGCTTTATTGTTCTCAAACAGCTTTAAGAGTAAAATATAGCAACATTCGAACAGATGTAAGATGTTCAAATATACATGAGGTCGACAGCGCTTCCTGTTATAAATGCTGATCATGTAGCATTTTCTGCTTGTTTACTTTAGAACAGGTATCAGCAACATAATAAATACCCGCAGTTACTTAACATAGGTGCTGGCTTTATACAAAATAATTATCTCAGTATAGTATGTAAAAGTATTTGGCATACCCCCCTTTTTTCACTTCGATTTCTCGGGAAGATATTAAGTTACACCTCATTCAGCTTAGTGATAGAAATTTTAGGAAGCGCTCACCAGATCAAAAAATCTGTAAAAAATATTTTGGCGAACGT